TGATACCATGCGAGTTAACATGCAGTTTTAATTTAATTGTGTTTGAATGCAATATCCTCGTTTTCGATGAGCAAGTGAACGGTGCATTTGTTACATTTGCACACGTGACGCAAGCGCAGAACCGGAACCAGCATATCTCCTAAAGGAGGAATCTCCTTCACCATAGGGAAAGATAAAGGAAGTGAATGTTGAACGGAGATTTTGACAATTAGGACAGATAAATATGTGACACGAACTGTACGTTCTAGGCCATCCGTTCCAAATTGGGGAGGGGACTTTCTCCAGAGGGGAGTGTACTAGAGCCCCTGGAGGCATTCGGATGTATCCAATGGTCTCTGATTAAAAAAAGACGGCCGTCCAGGCAACACCAACAGGTCGGCACTGACTGAAAAGTGATGTCGCCTCATGCATAGCCATGCACCACATGCAGTAAAACGAAATGGTATGGCGTAATAGCTAAACTCAGGTGCACTTTACCGCTCACATTAAGTTCTCACGCACACGCGATGTATTTGGAGTGATTCATTCTTTGACCATATTTGTGCCACCCGAATGCAATCGATGTGGAACGCCTTTTTGATCTATCAGCCCCTAACATGATTCGTTTCACCATGTCCCTTTTTACACAGATATCGTCAGAGGTCTAATTTTGTACGAAATTTTTGTATGCTCCAAAACTAGGATATCAGGCAACAAAACCCATCATCTCTCACCTGGCCTGTGGAAACAGCCGATTAAATTGCCGTTTTAATAGTTTGGTTTTGTTCCGAACGATTTCCCCATATCACGGCTTCTAATGTAGTCTCCAATGCGGAGTTTAGTTTACGTTTAACGCGACCAATATCCAAGCTTTGTGCTAAGCCCGCTGACACTGCTCGGATAGCTGTAACCGGTCTCGCTGATTTTCTTGGGCATTGCAATACCTGAACACAGAGTTGTGACAAAATGGGGTGTTTTGCTATGGACAAACCACCATGGTTTTAAGCCAGCGCGTGGAACAGATTATAAGAATACACGAGCATCGTAATTGGTCTGACACACTTGAAGCACACAAAACCGAAAGTTGATCTTGTAAAACATTGCTTGGGTGTTCCTGTCGTCGCGTCTATCGTCGATGCCGGATATCACTGCTAGTGGCCGTAACGACACGCAACCTTACAAAGACAAAACTGCTAACATTGAGACGTACCAGCAATCGGTGGCAGGCGAAAGCACGACGGCATCAGTAACGTCTTGAAGTACCTTATTTGGCTTGACGCGCACAGCTTTATCAAGTATTGTAGAATATATGTCATTCACGCAACTGTGACCGCAGGTAAATGTATCAGGTGACCGCAGATCGCCGACACTGTCGGCAACGCAGCACAACGCCAGTGCGAGACCCGAGATGCCATCTGACACGTTTTAGCGAGTGTGTACGGATAAG